ACAATGCCCCTCGTGCTCTGACCACTGCCCCATCATCTTGCACTACAGTGTTCAACCACCTTCTAATAATATATTCCTCTTTAAAATTTACTGGTCAAAGTTGGGATGTTATTGAAATATTGTTGTGGATGTCTTTTCTGCCCCTTCTAATGAAAACCCAATTCAAGATTTTTGTATAAAACTTAAAATTTTAAGGGGTAAAGTTAAGAAGTATCCTTGGGCTAACTCTACCAACATTGATTATCATCGTTCTAAGCTTCATAGAGAACAAGTAGAATGTTCGGAAAAAAAAATTAATAAATGTTGACCCCTTGGATGCTATCTTGAGTGATTCTCGAAAGTCCATCAATGTCCAAATTTTAGAGTACTCAAACATGCTTGCTTTTTGATTGATTCAGAGAGCGAAAACAAATCGGTTGCCTCAAGGTGAGGATGATTTGAGGTTCTTATATGCTAAAATTCGTGCTAAGAATTCTAAGAAAAATTTTGTGGTCAATATGGGTGCCCTATGCCAAATTCTACAAGTGCTGAAGCTATTAATCTCATTATTATCCATTTCCAAACGTTATACAACCCACCACCCCCACTTCTATGGACATGGATTTGTTCCCTATTGGTAACACATTATCCCCCATTGATGCATCATCCCTTATTCAGCATGTTTCTGATGAAGAAATCTAAATTTTAGTTTTCTCTGGAGCTTCTTCATTAACTCATAGGCCTGACATATTCAACATTCAATTTTATACAATGAGGTGAAATATTTTAGGGCTTACTCTATATAGGACAATTAGATCATTATTTCTTAAGGGATAACTCCCTAGTGGTGTCAAGGCTACTATTCTAGCTCTGATTCCCAAGTCCAATCACGCTGCTACTATATCAGATTTTAGGCCAATAGCCCTTTGCAATATTTTTTATAAGATTATTACTAAAATCCTAGTGAATATAATGAAACCCATTATGCCTCGGATTGTTAAGGATAACCAAATGGGTTTTATTAAATCTAGAATCTTTATAGATAATATCCTCCTCACTAATGATATCCTATATTCAACTAGTTTAGAGGGGATAATAGCTATTTTTGCTCCAAACTAGACATCCGTAAAGCTTTTAATACTGTCTAAAGAGACTTCCTATTGACTAGGTTGGCTAAAAAAGGATTCCTTAGAATTTTCATTCAATGGGTAAAATCTTGTATCATTAATGTCAATTTTTTTATTCTAATAAATGGTGCTATAGAGGGTTATTTCTCTTCTTCAGTTGGTTTGAGACATGGATGTCCCATGTGTCCTTATTTATTCTGTATTATTATGGACGTCTTCTCTACCCTCATAGATAATGGTGATTTTAATGGCATTATTGTTGATGGTTTTAAACTTACACACCTTCTCTATGCCGATAATCTATTGGTATTTGGCAAGCATGATTTAGAAAACTGTAGTAAGCTGTCTCATCGTATTAATACATTTGCTAAGGCTTCGAAACTTCATGTAAATTTTGAAAAGAGCTCTATCATCATTCCCAATTCCAATTGGAACCAATATGCCAATTGTTATTCTCTATCTATTCCTAATGTTAGCAATAATATCACTTATTTGGGTATCCCTATCTCTTTAAAAAGGTAGAAAATAGCAGCTTTTTGCCACTGATGGAAAGTATTACTTTAAAGCTATCAGGTTGGAAAGCTAGCCTTTTATCTTTTGCTGGTCATTTGCAGTTCCTGAAATTCACCATCCTTAACTCTATTGCTTATTGGATACATGACTCTATACTACCTAAAATTATCATTAAATATATCAGGAAGCTTTCATCTAAATTTATGTTTTTTTGGTGATGTTGTGGCAGCTTGAAAGCTGCACTTATTATTTTGGGATAATGTTTTTAAGCCAAAAAAATATGGGGGTTTGGGTCTTCACTCTATTCAGGCTCTTCAATTTGGTTTTAACTGTTCTTTATTTTATATAATGTATAACTACAACACCCCACTATCCCAATGGCTGATTACATCCCCTTGGCACCCTATTCCCGCACATGCTACTAAATTTTGGAAGTCAATATGCAATACTGCTGACATTGTTAAGCCTTTATTTAAGTTTAGGATATCACCTCATGCGCCTATTTCTTTTTATTGGGACCACCAGAGTAATGTTGATGGGCTTTTTAATTACTTTTTTTGCAATTTGAATGCTTCTGTCATGGAATTCATCTTTGGGTACTCTTGGAATTTGCCTTCGATGCTGGATCATGCTTTTGCTAATGCTATCCTTAACGTCCCTATTTATGATTCTTCTATGAATTTCTTATCTTGGGGAAGCTCATATAAGGTGTCTTTTGGGAATTATGTTAAAGAATTTTATAAATATATGCCTATTTGCTCTTGGGCTAAATTTATCTGGCACAGACGAAATGCTTTATATTTTACTATTTTTGGGTGGTTATATCTTATTGATGGATTAAAGACAACTAAAGCTCTAAAAAATGTAATATCTTGATTGACTCAAAATGACATCTATGTTATTCTGATTATAAGAGGACATCACACATTTTTTAATACAATTTCTCCTTCTCTATTGTTGTGGGCTAGAATATACGCGGCGATAGAGTTGAAATACTTTCATCTTAGCGTTGTACGAATATTCACCACACAAACAGAAAAGGAAAATAACACCAGGATTTTTACGTGGAAAATCCGAAAGAGGAAAAAAACCACGGGGCCACGCCCAGTTGAAGTAATTCTACTAGTGTTTGTTTGAAGTACAGATGCTGATTCGTCCCACAAGTTAGGACGATCATATTACAAAGAGTTTCTCCTGAATTGAAATTTAGTTACAAAGTTATGCAGAATTCCGGTGTCTCCCAAATATCCGTCAGAATTCCGGCGTATTCAGGCGGCGGAAAGAACTCTGGTGGTGGTCGAGGAAGAGCTGATTCTCCTCCTCTTCTTCTTCTCTTTTCTTCTTCTCTCTCTTGCTTGGGTCCCATCTTATGAGAAACGAGGGGTCTATTTATAGTTTTTTCGGAGTGGCATGGCTTGTAAATAGGTGTGAGATTAGGAGAGAACAGGGAGTGGTTGAATGGATGGCTGATATTGAATCCCTTGATCATACACCGTTCGTCAGACATTTGAAGGATTTAGTGATGATGGAATCCGGTGATCTTGGGCTCGTTGGATTCGTCTCGTCGAGCCGTTTGATTCGACTATAAGCTCTTCAAAATCAGAGACCCTTTGGTAACACAAATTGTGGTACGAGCTTTCCAACAGCACTTCGGACGCTTGATTTGGGCTCATTTGGGCTCGGATTGAGTTGAATTTGGTGTCGTTGGGTTCATATTTTTGAGACACTTAGTTCAACTATAAGTTTGCGGAAATCGGAGTTCAGGTGATCTTGGATTTAATTTTTGAAGTTTCCAACTTGATTTTTGCCTCGAGATTCGTGCCCGATCAAGATAATTTTTGCATGATGTATCATCTATCATTGAAGACTTAATTCTGAGAGCTTGTTCGTTGTTTTTAAGGACTAATACGGCACAACTCTTAAATTGGATTTGTGGTCATTCGAATACTTTCCCATCAATAAAAAGGTTATTCTGTATTTTAACGTGTTGTACGATTTATTACATTTGGTGGGAAAGAAATGATAGATATTTTGGTAAGAACGCGAATAGAAAATCTACAATCACTCTTAAGATTAAGAGAGCTGTTTTTACCAAAGTCTGTAAGTGGAATGACGCGGAAACCTTGATGGAGCTGCTCTAATAGATCTCAGCCTCAATTTTTGTCGTGGTTCTCCTTTCACCGGACTGCTACCCATCTCTTCAATTTTAAACCGAGTTTTGGTTTTGGTTTCAATGGTGGGGAATTTTCAGGGGTAAGGATGACCGGACTGCTTCGTCGTTCCCCTCGGAAGGAAGGTTTTTGCTCAACCGTTTTGCTCGCAAGATCATATGTGCTTCTCCGTTCTTATTGGCAATCTTCTGCAATCAGGGTTTACTTCAGATTGCAGTCCATTTAATGAACCCACTTTCCTCCTGTTAAATGTTTTTTCTCTTTTGTGCTTTGTTTTGGTTTTTTGGATGTGTAAATCTTTTGCTATTGATTTGATCATGTGTATTTTGTTAATAGAATTTTGGGTTGGCTATCCTTTTTGATAGCTTCTCTTTTTTCTTTTCTACACATGTAACTAGTTCTTCTTTAACAGAAATGGGCTATTTCCCAACTTTCCCCCAAATAAACAAAAAGATGAATAATTTAACTATAAGCTTTTTGAATTTAATTTTGAAAATTTTTAAATTCAAATATGTCTCAAAATTCGTGCAATCAGAATAAAATTAAACTATGTATGTTATTTAAAAAATAATATTAACAATATTTTAATATAAATAAGATATTTTTGAATTTTTTTTAAACATTTAGCCTAATTAAAATAAAAAGCTAAAATCTAAAATTTCTTAATTGAAAGTTAAAACTCGAAACAACTGATAAAAAAAAATTACGAAAGTATTTGAATTTCATTTTCTAAGCGAGCCTTTCCTCTGGATTCATCTCTCTAAGTAAAATTATTCTGTGTGAATACAAACGCTGTTCAAAGACGAATTAGAATGTGCCATATCACTTATTTACTGTGTATTATGATTATGTACCGCCATGTATCTGATAATGAGGTGCGTTCTGATCCGAGGCAAAATAATTTTATCCAATAACTCATTGAACGTACCAACGTCGTTCAAATAATCCGTCTCCATCGCAGTCACAATGTTTCAAACAGGTCAACCATTGCAAACTCAGTACCACGTCACCCGGCCCCACCACCAGTTGTCAACCAGCTGTTCTTCCCACGGATACGTCTCTCATGAATGTAGCCGTGCATGCAGCGACCGGCTGCGTTAGGCCGCTGGCCTTGCTATAGGAACTGCTACACGCTTCTCCAACCGTGTACGGTCCAAGAACCTCCGGTTTCGAATATCAGGCCACGCCATGGCTGAGTCATCGCAGTTTCAGTTGCAGAGAGTTTTTTAGGCTTCATCCAGAAGTTATTATCATTAAATTTTAATTTTATCTTCATTAAAAACCGATTTTGGGCTCTTAGCTGGATTCCTATCACCATCCCTCTTCATTCGTTGTATATAATGAGCCTCTTTCTTCCCCCGGACTGAATCAGAGAAAGCAGAGCAAGTCTTCTCTCTTTGCTTCCCATTCATATCTCCCATTCCTGTTCCATTCGGCTTCGGATTTGCGGAGAAGATGACTATCACGCTAGAGCACCCTCGTATTGGTGAGTTCTGTAATTTGCAGAAAAAAATAGAGTTTGTCTGTAATTTGTTGCTAACATCGACGAGCTTCTTTGGCTTCAGGAGTTGATTTGGGTGAGAAGAAGATCATCCCTGATACAAACGAACTGGATTTAGATGGCGGTTTCTCTGTTCCAGAAACAAACGCCTTTGGCCAGACTTTCAGGTTCTTATTTTCCTTAATGAATTCTTCAGGATTTTCTTCTGTTTGATCTGTTCATTCCAAGCTGATTCAGAGAAATCTTTCAGGGATTACAATGCTGAATCTGAGAGGAAAAAGACGGTCGAAGAATTCTACCGCACTAATCATCTTCATCAATCTTATGCTTTTGTAAGAGATTGCTTATTGGTTCTTCGCAATTTCATTTCATGCAAATTTTTTTTTTTGAAGAATGAATTTAACAGCTCATGCAACAATGAAATTGGCCATAAAGAGTTGAAATAAGATTATTAATGGAAAATTCAGTACTATAAGGTTTGATAAAAATATTTGATATATACATAGGTGAAGAGGATGAGAGAAGAGTATGGGAAGCTAAATAGAGTGGAGATGAGCATATGGGAAAGCATTGAATTGCTTAATGAATTCGTCGATGACAGTGATCCTGATCTTGATGAGCCCCAGATTGAGCATTTGTTGCAGACTGCAGAAGCTATCAGGAAGGATTATCCAAACGAGGATTGGCTTCACTTGACTGGCCTTATTCATGGTGAACACAACTGATGAAATTTCATGGCTTATTTCTTTTTTTAGTTGATTAATTTTCTTTTTTTGTTGAATTCAGATCTTGGAAAGGTTCTTCTTCATCCTAGTTTTGGTGAGCTTCCTCAATGGGCTGTTGTTGGTAAGTGTAATCCCTACTAATTTGACCGTTTGATGTCTAATACTTTTAAAAATATTGTTAGATAATGCAATGTTTGGATTTTATTTTATTATATTTTTTTACCTTTTTCTTGTTTTCTTCTCATTTTGTAAAAGGTATAGGGATTCCTAGTGTTGTTTATTGCTTGAATAAACTGAAAAAAATAAAGAAAAAATTGGCTGAAAACATGGTTTCAAACCAAACACATAACTAGGAGAATTTCTTAAAAAAATCAATATCCTTTTTGTAAATTTTATTTTTTAATAATAAATAAAAGAAAATAGAAAATAAAAAACTAAAAATATAATTCAAACATGACCTAAATGCTTGACCTGTATATATTTTGCAGGTGACACATTTCCTGTGGGCTGTGCTTTTGATGAATCTAATGTGCACCACAAGGTCCTATAAAACATTTATACCTTATAAATGTTCTGTAGAAATGATTAAAAGATCTATATATTGCTCACAAAGAATTACATTGCAATTATTTCAGTTTTTTGAAGGGAACTCAGACTACCACAATCCCAAGTTCAATACCAAGTATGGTGTTTATTCTGAAGGGTGTGGCCTTGAGAATGTGCTAATGTCATGGGGTCATGATGATTACATGTATCTGGTAAATATTTATATAGAAATAGTGCATATAAAAATATAAAATCATAAAATGTTAAAGGCAAATTAATAAATTTTTTACATATTATGAGAGAACAAATATATCCTTCTTTTATCTCTTATTTGTTCTAATATTTTTCTGCAATAAATACTATTTGGTATGTCTGTCAGCAAGAAATTTGAAGTCCACTTAACATTAACAAGTTCTACCCACCGATGCTTAGCTTGGTTGGGGGGCGAGTACGGTTGGGAACCCCCCACCCGTGCTTGATTCCCCCGAGCGGCAGCACCTCTTAAGTGGGGCCCAATCAAGTGTGGGTCAGAAGGTTTCTGGGGTGCGTGGGTGCTTCTTCTAGGTCAGTCGATGATTAGTCATGCTGTCAAGTACCTTTCGGGAGTGGCAGCGGGTGGACACCTGTTCTAAAAAAAAAAAAAAAACATTAACAAGTTCTTATCAAACACTCTTTTCAAAAGTATTTATAATTATAGTAACATCCAATTGAAGTAAAATACCAAAATGTAACTCTATTGTATGGCTTTCAATTAAAATCAAATGTCAGTAAACTTTGCAGACACCAAAATTAGTTAATACATTGATATTATATATAGTCAGACTTCTTCCTTCAGGTTTCTCTAATAAATGATTAATCATAGGTGGCTAAGGAGAACAAGACTACTTTGCCTTCAGCTGCTCTCTTCATCATCAGATACCATTCCTTCTATCGTAAGTTTTCTTCGTTTACAGAGATTATACAGTGAATTTGATTCATGTTGTTTGGAACTTAACAATTTTGCATTTTCTGTCATTGTTTCAGCCCTCCATAGATTTGGAGCCTACTCATACTTGATGAATGAGGAAGACAAAGAGAACCTGAAATGGCTGCATGTATTCAAGTAAGATACCATAGTTATTAGTTGCAAATTTGAATGTGGCAGATTTCCTGATGGCTAAGGCTTTGTTTGGGATGATTTTCTTACTACTTCTTAAAACGGGTACTAGAAAACTGTTTTAAGAAGCAGTAAGAGAGTCATCTCAAATGAAGCGTAAAATTAATAACGAAAAGTAAACAAATATTTGTGAGATAATGTTGTTATTTGAGTAAACTATTCATATAAGATGAGATCTAAGGCTCCCTTAAACATTTGCTATTGATGTTTGTTAATTACAAAATCCTTGCTTTTGTGTATTCTGTGCAGCAAATATGACCTCTATAGTAAAAGCAAGGTTAGGATTGATGTGGAGAAGGTGAAACCATACTACCTTTCTCTCATTGAGAAGGTGAGTATTATATTATCATCTCTGAAATTGTTTCATCTGAAGTTTATTGTTGCTATAACTTACTGTTTTTGTTTTCGTTGTTGCAGTATTTTCCTGCTAAGTTGAAATGGTGAAACTCCTCGCAATAAGGTTCTTTTGCTAAATGGTTAAGTGTGTACGTTAAAGGGTATTGTGTGTGGAATTGTTTGTAAGTGGATAAAAGGGTGATTATCAATTTTTTACATGGAGATTGTAAGGATTCTGACTATGCAGTTCAATCATAAAGATATGAAATAAGCTTTAAGAATCATTTTTATTTGTGTTAGTATCGCGTTATATAAAAAAATTTTATATATTAGTCTTGTCTCTTTCTCTTGGCTGATTAGCTTAACTGGTTATCGAAGCATAGCAGGTTCTTAAATGAATCTCAGGTTCTTAAATGAATCTGGGTCACTTCAGATTTGTTTGGATTGATGGATAGAGAAAGGAAATGAAATGAAATACCAGCTAATTATTGGCGTAACCCTGGAAACAAACAAAGGGGAATGAGAAGTAGAATAAAAGCTGCTCCACCATTAGATCATTCGACTATTTAGTATACTGCTAATAAAAAGTAACATCACATCTCATCTATCAAATTTTAATTTTTTTAACTAAAATTTTATTTTAATAAACAATAAAAAAATCGTCCCAAATGAAATCATAGTTAAATTATTAAGTGCTATTTAGCCTAAATAGATCTTAATGTTGTGCAATTCAAAGCATAAAACAGAAAAAAATCATACAATTAAGCACAATCAAACAATGTGATTTATGTGGTTTGAAGAAGAATCGTCTATGTTGATAGGGAGGGGATGATTTTTTTATTCTACTATGGAGAAAAATAAGGTTATAATTTTCTCTTTATATAACTGTAGCCCAATACCAAGGAAGGTAAAAAATTCAATATAGAAACTCTTAATCAATGCACTAATTAGAACTCTTAATTATGCCATAATTAGTGATGCTTTAATTATGATCCTAATTTGAAAAGGAAATAAAAGTTTTCGGTAACGATTTCCACTTCATCTTTCATTTCAATATGTGAAATATGAAAAAACAAACTTTTATATTAGAATGATTACACTAAGATGATTGCCTATCCCAAAACAATCAAGCCAAACATAGTTTTTTAGAAACATATGAACAATCAGCCATGAGTTTGAATATTCTCCAAACTCTTACAATAAGTGAACTTCTAAATTGATAGAATCTTTGTGAGCATGTCTACTGGATTCTTTTTTGTCTCTATATTCGTCAATTAGACATTGCCTTCATCAATTAAGTCCCGGACAAAGTGATACCTTATATTAATAAGCTTGGTATGAGCATGATAAATCAAATTTGTGACCAAGAATATCACATTATGACTATCACAAAATATCATCAGAGAATCTTGACCAACTCCCAAGTCATCTAGTAGGCCTTGTATCTATATTGCTTCCTTCATTATCTCCATGACTATCATGTACTCAGCCTATGTTGTAGACAAAACAACAGTAGATTAAAAAATTGATCATCAACTAACTTGACCTCTGCTAATGTGAATAAATAATCAATAGTAGACCTATGCCTATCAATATCACCGACATAATCTGAGTTAGTGTAGCTTACATACAAATTAACAATAGATTACTGCCTCTTAAACACCCAGCCTACATTAGTTGTACCTTTTAGATATCTCAAAATACTCTTCACAACATGGTAATGACTCCTTCCCGAATCATGTATGAACCTGCTCATAACATCAACTGGTTGTAAATGTCTAGTCTAGTACAAATCATGATATACGTTAGACTCTCAGCTGCACAAGTATAAGGAATCAATCACATATCTTTCCTCTCCTGGTCATCTTCAGGAAACTGATTTGAACTCAACTAGAAATGAGATGCAATGTGTAGACTCATAGCCTTACTCGAGTCATCAACTCATTCTAGTTATCTTCTCCATAAGAAGTGCCATGCCACGAATTTTGCAAGCTTCACCCACTAAAAATATTTGAACAATTGCTTCTTCATCATATTGATGGCAATCTGACTAGCAGATTCAATCAATGCGTGTAGACTCGCAGCCTTACTCAAGTCATCAACTCATTCTACCTATCTTGTCCATAAGAAGTGCCATGCTAAGAATTTTGCAAGCTTTACCCACTCAAAATATTTAAATAGTTGCTTCTTCATCCTATTGATCTCAATCTGACTAGCAGATTAATTCAATCAACATGTCATCAAAATATAGAAGAAGATAGATGAATTCATCATTAGCCAAAAATTTAAAATATGCATAATAATTGTAGTTGGTCCTTGTGTACTCTCACATCATGAATTGATCAAACTTCTTATACCATTGTCATTCCCTTTAATTTGCGTAAAACCTTTTTCCACCAACCTAGTTTTATATCATACATCTGCTCCATGAGATTCTTCCTTCTTTGTACTTACGCATTTGTACCTAATGACTTTTCTTCTTGGAGGAAGCTTCACAAACCTTCAAGTAGCATTCTTCTAAAGAGACTTCATCCCTTCATCCATAGATCTTTTTCAAAGATCACAATCTTGACTATCCACTATTTTCTTTTAGTGATTCATAATTTTAACCTTCATGGCTAAAAGTGTAAATATAATGTGGTCCCTCAACCAAACTATTTTTACGATATTCTGGTGTCTAGTCGTATTCCTAGTAATGGATTCTTGAGCTTAACCCTCATCCTTAACATTATCTTCTACCGCTCTCTAATCACTATTAATATGTACCTTTTGATTTGTAGTTAAATTAGGAACCATGGTAGAAATAATCAGACTCTGTAGAATAAATAGAGTTGCATCAAACTCTAACTTTTGCTATGCATTTGTGGTCCCAATATAACTCTCCACCTACTTTGAGTTCTGAGGCTTCAACATGCTTGCCTCATCGAATGTAACATCTATGTTGAAGACAATCTTCTTCTCTCCTTAATCACAGAGTTTGAAACTCTTAACTCAAAGCCTAAAATCAATAATGATTATATACTTTTCCCATGGTTTTAGTTTATCATTTTGAACATGGTAGTGACATGGTAGTAAGCTGGACACATGAATACTCTTAAGTGCTCATAATCTCTAGTAAAATTGCACATCTCCAACATTCTCATCCAGATTTAGCAGATCTACCAACAGCTTTGTGATAATAACCCCATATCTCATCTAACATCTGTTGAGCTAATATTTAATAGTGAGTCGATTCTCCTTTCTCCTCTTCGTTAGATATTTATTCTCCAAGGTCTTCCACAATTTCGAAACAGAAGTCTCCATCATCACCCTATACTTGATCTCCTGAGATAAGCAATTTTTTTACTAAACCACAAGCACTCTGATTTATTTTCAACCAATATATCACAGACATCTCTTCAGGACACTCATCGCTATCCAAAAGTTTATCTAAATTTAAAGAGCATAACATATCTATCACCTTGCATCTTCACTCACCAAAAATTTCTTTGCCATCAAATTTCACTTTGATCATGTAGGGATGTGCAATCACTTGATGGATCAACATATTTTTTACCGTCGAGGTGAATGTATCCATGGCTCCACCAAATCTCATAACCCTCACATAAATTCTTCCGAAAAGGAAAGCACCCGATCTTGGCTTCACGATTCACATAAATTCTCCAAATTAGGCTCATAAATAGAGGAGTTCTAATTATGGCATGATTAGGAGTTCTAATTACGCTATATGCATATGGAGGCGTAGAATGAAGGCCAGGATACTTGCGCGAGCAGAGTGCTGGGCATGGGTTTAGCAAGCAAGAGTTCACGTGGGAGACTGGGGACATGAAGATTTCTCATGTGTGTGTTAGCAGGGGTTCGAGCCAAAAGCAAGAGCAATAACACTCTTTCGTTCATCTGGAGGAATTGGACTGAGCAGGAGCTTCATGTCTTTGCGTTCTTTTGGGACGAACCAGATAAAAGCAAGCAAATGGGTTGGTCATTATAGATCTCTTAAAGAGTATGCTAATCTTATAGTAGAAAGAATCCATTGGGGTATCAATAGTCATATTATCCATGCTATAGTAACTTTGCATTGAAATATGTCATAATTTATATGGTTCAAAATTTTTAGTTTGAAGCGAATTTTTATTGAGGATCCCAATCTATAAATTGATTTCTTGGAAATCTATGCAATATTTAAGTATAATGTGTCGATGATGATGCCATTAAACTTAGATTGCTCCTATTTTTTTAAGGGATAAAATTAAGCTGTGGTTGAATTCTTTGTTCCTAGGCTCTTAAACCACTTAAAATGAGTTCGCTCATCAATTTCTTGCTAAATATTTTTTTATCTTGAACACTATCAAAATTAGGAATGATATCACGCGTTTTGCCTAATTTGAGGGAGAATCAATTTATTAAAGTGGAGAGAGATTTAAGAAAAAATTTAGGAAATGCTCTCACCATGGTTTAGTTGACTGGTTAATTATTTAAACTTTTTATAATGGATTTGTGGGATCCCTTTAGGGGTGTAAGTAACCCTAGCAAGCTTACGAGCCGACTTAAAGTCAACTCGATAACAAACTCACAAGCCGAGCTTATCAAGCCGCGAGCTCGAGCTCTAGCTTGATAAGCCTTGCGCACTATCTGGCTCGAATGAATGTTAAATTTTTTTAAAATAATTATGATTTCATTTTATTTGAACGGTTTAAAAGATTAATGATTATAAAATAAAATGATTTGATTTATGTTAAGATCGTACTGTACGAACTGTATTGTATTGTACCAACTATATCATACTATACGATTGGAGTAAAACATGGATTAATTAAGTAGGCAGTTGAATTAACTTAATATAAACTAATCGTACTGTAAGATTCATATAATGCTAGAGGATCATAGAAATAGATATTCCTGTCGCCAATCATAAATTAGGCAATATTTTAAAATTCAAAATATAAAATAATCGTACTATATAATACCCATTATACTGTATCATAACAATAAATCTTATCTAATCTAATATTGTAATTGGGAAATCCAGTCAGGATTAATTGATCCTTAAGGTTGTATTGTATGATGTCTTTAATCGTACAATATGATCCGATTTGCTCCCAGGATGATATTTAATCTCCACCGATTGTACTGGACGGAATATTATTTGATTGAACTAATTGTACTATATGATCCTGAATTCATAATGGATAATCCATTCAAGAAATTCAATTAATCATATAGGACCTCTTCATCGTACAGTACTAACTGGATTAATTGAGTTGGAGAGGGAGAAGAGAAAGTTGTGTGAGAGGGAGATGTA